GGCGGAGAATCACACAGCTTCAACATTTTCTATCCCTCACCCCTTGCTTCAGGCGCGAGGGCGGAGAGATCGTCTGCAGCCTTGACGATGTAACTCCACATTTTGGCCGCGTCACCCTTCCATCTTCCGTTGTCGTCGAGGACATATTCGTAGGCGAACCTCGCGGCGGTGATTTTCGCTTGACGTCTTGTCATGATGCCGTGCGCTGACTGAATAGAGAGTTGGTGAGAGAGACACATAATTATCACGTTACAAAGATAAGTCTTACGGTTCATATCCGGGAGGAGTATTTTCGGCTGGAGAAGGAAGGGACTGGATAACTTTGCGGATGAGAACAACACGTTGCTGCAGAGCCGCTCTCTGTATTGGATCTTTAAAGAGACGACCGAGAACTTCCATGATGCCAAGTATTTCCGCATGCATGAAAACGACAATGTCGGGAATAGTCTTTTCGCTCTCGATGTATTCTTTTGCGGTCTGTTCGTCGTGAAATCGGCGCGCACTGATGGCAATGTCAGTCGCCATGTCGGAGATACCTTTCCATAGTTTCACGTTTTTCTCTCCAGCTTCCGTTTCCTCGGAGGCGGCGACGATGAGGTCCACAGCAACGTTCTCGAGATTCTTCCACATCTTGCCTGCTTCGCTCTCCCATCCGATGTCACCTCCGTCGCCAATCTTTTCGCAGACGGGTGTCGTGTCAGGACTTGCAATGTTGACGTAAGATCTCTGAATGTCGTCTTCGTCAGTGCTATGTCATTGCAAATGCTCGTCTACTATTACTTTTCTCTCCCATTCTATTCTCTTCCATTCATAAGTAATCATCAATGTAAATGAAATATAAAATAGTTAGAAAGTCTACTCTACAAAATAAATAGACAATGAAAATAAAAATCTATTCTTCATCTAAGATAAAAGTAATAAATAAAAATACTCAAAAGTCTACTCTACAACCCCGCCTGCAGGGACGAACGTGTACGCTGAAGGAGCGGCCGAGCGCGTACACAAAATGCGGAAATGGCCCCAGGGTAAACTCGAAAATTTATTTAACCCAATAGCGTTTGTCGTCTGCCACGCACAACGAACGCTTATTTTGAACAAAGGAATAATTTAGACGATTTTTTGATCGAATGCAGCACTGTTTATCGACTCTATTGCGATTGTGAAATAAACAGTCTAGATAATTTTTGAAAATATATTTTTTGACAACAGAACATTGCACTCCCTTCGCCCTAGACACAGTGACCTGAGACTGAGTCAGAAAGGAGTACATTTTAGGGCGCAAACCTACGAATTCAACCATGGAATCATTTCCGTATTCGTCCTTAAATAGTCCCAGTACTTTTTTGTTGCGTGGTGTGATGTCGAAAGAATTATTGGGGGGAAAGCGAGATGTGTCGAACCATTGTGAACACCGATTCATCTCAGCGTACACGTTCGTTGATGAAGAGATAATGAATTAAACGGTGTCCATGTACAGAAAGTGAAGATCGCGAAGATGTTCTTTACAATATTTATACAAGAATTCATCCATTCTGAATTTAGAAATTTCTAAAATACAAAAGTCTAAATAAATGGGCTTTGCGAGTTTTACTTTTGTTTACATCAATTCTATTGTCATGAGATCACCCATGACGTGGCGACTTCGTGCGAAAGCGGGATTTGCAATGAGATTCCTGGTCCCACACTTCCCCAACCATCTATTGACAAGATAAATGCGACGATGATTGCGTACGTCCTCCATCGATTTCCCATAAACGGAATTGTTCATTAATTTAAAAAATATATCTTCGAAATGGGAGGACGCACGCTGTCGTCGTGAATTGTTGAGGTCCATGTATGTGGCAAGCCAAGGACTTTGATTGAACGAAAGAATGCAATGGATGTTGATGAGTTGAACTCCCAACTCCATTGCCTGAACTAAATTTTTGATATGAATGACATAGCGACGCTTGGGCAACAGCGTCGCCATTAACTTGGCTTGCGTGCGTTTTGTGTCGGGGGCACACGTGACTCCGGACAAGGAGGCAAGTCGCTCTATCGATCGTGGATCTCGTCTGGATAGTCGAGGTCGACTTTGAGAATGTATCCGCGATCGGTCTGGGCGACCGCCTGCTTGAGATTGAAAGTACGAATTTCAGTTTCAGACAACCATCTAAACTGTCCTGTGGTTAGTGGATGTCTCATACTGTATACATAAAGGTTATTCGCATCCCAATAGGAGATATAAGATTCCTTATTAGTTGACTTGAAGGAATATCCCACGTGTGCGTGGTTGGTCTCGGCGTGGCGCCCAACTACCTGCACGAGACCTCCCCGAATGCCTTTTTCAAAAACGAGAACCATGTCAACATCCGTGAGAAGCTCAAGTTCGACACCAGTTGTTTTGAGCATGGCGTCTCACGAGAGCCCGGGAGCGGTGTAATAGATCGCGGGATCGAGAGCGTACACATCCAAACAAGTTTCTAAATGTTTCAAAAATGTCGGTGAGTAGCATGACGTCCATTTTCAAATACAAATCAGCGTACTCACCTAAATTTAGGATGGAGAAAGCGTCCCACACGGCCCACGCGTGTGCGTATTCCGCGTCCGAGATTGATGTGTTTGTAAGGTGACTGAAAAAGGCCTCGCGCCGGGGCAAAGACGTGTCTTCCAGCTTCGACATGCAATTTACGTAGTCGTAGGAGAAGACGCCCTTCCTACGGGCCAGGGCAAAGAGCGCATCGTCGGGAAACGCTGCCCGAGTGAATTTCAATTGTTCTGTCAAAAGAGATTGACTCAAGGAATCGAGTCCTGCACCTAAAAAATTTTGAGTCCAAAAAGCGTAATTTCACTTTTTTCGATTCTTTGCGAAACAGAAACGAATCTATCGTGATTGTGTGGAATGACGCTCAGGTTTTCGTAGCTACTGTCTGCCCAGGCCGGAAGGAGAAAATGCCAATCATACCCGCTTCCGTTATGCATAACGACGGGAATAATATGTTTGGGAGCCTGGAAGTTGACGTTGCAATTTTGATGAGCTGCTCCGCGAAATAGATCTGTGAAATGATCGTGATCCCTAACACGTATAGAATTTGGAAGGAAAGGACCTTTGCAAATGCGACAAGCGTCAGCATTTTGAAATGCAATTTCGTCTTCCTTCCGCATGAGGAGAGGAGTTGGATGTTTCAAAAGTTATTCATAATCCTTTGCAAGGCCTTCTAAATATTGTAGTAATTGTTTGGCGATGTCACGCCCGCGGTACACTATTCTTTGCGATCGTGATTCATCAAAATTACAGACAACTTGGAGACACATCAAAAGGGATCATGTATTTGATAAGCCCGAAGGTAGGATTCGCTTGGAGATTGCTCACACGTAGCGATCGGAACAGATAGTGCCTAAAAATCAACGTAAACCGCAATCGGGCATCTCTGTTGTTTCTCGTGATTATTGAAGCGCATAATTTGTTCTGATGGCGAAGAAGGTAATACCAGTCGATCTGGCGACACAGAACTACAATCAATCGTGTGAGCATCGAGTTTTTCCTGTGATCTAAATAAATTTAGACACCGCTCACAAGCGAAAACCGCATGTCCATGAGTATTATGTTGGTTACTCACCAACCTACTTAAATTTTTGATCCAAACATAGTGATTCACGTCCTTTGATGCATATAACAAAATATTGAAATGATTCTCTTTTTTTGTTTTTGCGAAATGCACAGAACCTACATCTCACATTTTCTTTTCAGAATGACAAACGATTGAAAACATAAAAAGAATAAGTTAGATTTTGTTGTTCAAAACGTTTGATGACGTGAACAGAGAGTGGCCAGGAGATACCACGCAAATCGAGATGATTTTGTAGTTCATTGAATATAGACTGATACGTACTGGTACGTTCCCGTCTACCTCCTAAAGAACAACTATTTCTGTGGGGCTGTCGTCTGTGGAAGAGGGCACATGCGATGGCCTACAGGAAACATTTATCATCACGATTGCGAATATTAATCATCGCTTTACGGCGAGCGGTACTATCGGGGAGCGGAATATACGAAGATCCAGAATGCGAAATGAGTTCGAAAAGATGTATAAGAATGTGAAGAGCGACGATTTCATAGAGCGCTTTTCCGCTATCTCGCTCCTGAAACTCGTCGAATTTTGAACTTATAGGATCAACGATAGGATGTAAATAAAATTAACCGATATTATCACTATCAGTCATCACGGCTGCGCGAGCATTTAGAAAGATCGGCTGTATCTCGCCGATCATTTCATGTGTCACGGGATGATCTCGTTCAATCAAGAAACGATTAACGAGTGCTCTACTTGCAATAATGGCAATACAGGCAATACAGGAAAGAGTCTTGATAGTGTTATTTGTCTCTGTACCCACTGATTAGTCAAATTGTCGTTTGTCTTATAATGCGCAATCAATTGACATTGTCTTACTTTTTATGTCTATTTTGGATTTGTACAAATCTATTTCAAGGCGCAGTTTAGGAGGCAAATATTTTCGAAATGAATTCTGACTTTTCGCTTAACAATAGCACTGCAATCAGATGCACGCAGCGCATTGAGTTGGCGCATGTTTTCATAGGTCAGCTTTTGAAGAAATCAGAATTGTCATCCTTAAACTATTTAACGTCACTGTCAACATGTTTCACCGCAAGTTTGAGTTTCTTTGTTGAATTAAAAATCAAAATAAATAAAAATATATTAATTTTAACTTAATCATCTCACGTAGAAAAAATATTCTCTTTCAATTTATTCATAAAAAGCCACTATTCTGCGACGATGAACAAGTACTGGATATACAGATAATAGCGCGGTGTTAAATATGACTAAAATTGCAAGTGCCGAAGAGATTAGAGAAAAAAATTCAAACTATAATTCTTACTGGTAATACAATTCTTATTGGTAATTAAACCAAATTGCCTGTAGTACTTTCATCGCAAAAATAAAAAGAATAAAACAGAATTCATTATTGAAAAATTGAAAAAAATATTACACACGAATGTAGGAAATAATGGTTTATTGAAAATAACAATTTATCTGCTATTTAATTACATTACACTGATAATAATATATATTCAAATCTTGCTTTGGTGTCGATGATGAATTAGTGTTAATTCAAAGAATACCAAGGAGAAGGTGTGTTTCGAACAGCTTGAAATAAAAGAAACAATATTAATCAGCAGTTGAGTTTCATTTCGTAATTGAAAGGTCATTAGAAACAACAGCTTTTCAAACTCAAATTGGGACCAAAGAAATTAACGATGAAAACAATCACATTCAAATTGAGACAGCACAAACTAATTAATAACAATCACATTCATATTCGGATCAGACTAATTCAATTTGAGAAGGAGAAGAAGAAGATGAACAAAACGAATTCGGAAGAGAAGGAGAAACAGAAGAAAAATGAAATGAATAAGGAGAAGTTCGTGTTTTCTTTTATTTCTCAGTGGTTCAACAATCCAAAAAATGTTAATAGTATATATAATTTAATAGTTAATAACAGTATAGATAGTTTAATAGAATTATATCCCTTCCTATTTATATCGTTTCTTCCCATCTCGAATGTGCTGGTTATCAATTTATTTACTGAAACAACTGTTGAAAATATGTATTTCATTGTCTGTTGCTTCGAATCTTGTTTTAATGTCGGTGATGAATTAAAATTAATTCAAAGGAAACCAAGACGGTGATGAGTATGACCACAATTTGAAAGTGCTTGATCTCTGTTTGATTGTGACTGATCTCAAATTGAATGATATTTATCTCAATTTGTGGTTGGAATAGTGTAGATAAAATGCATTGACAATACTCACCGGAACTACGGGAGGTAACGCACGTTGGCTCCGGAGTGCAAGGACGTCGTAGACAGTGGGTCTCGCGCATGGTGCAATACTGTCCTCGGGGGCATCGGTAGTCAGAGCAGGTTTCTATGAACAACATGTTATTCTGATTATATTTAAAAGTAAGCAATATTAATTGCATTTTTATTGTGATGCCCTTGTCTAGACATTTTGGCCTGCCTACCTACCTACAATGGATAAAATATTTAATAGATTTGTGATTATGATGGAACAAAAATAAATAATTTCATAGATATGCGACAATGAATGAGGCGTGCAGCAGCACAAATTCTGCTCAACAAAATCAATGTAAATGGTTTTAAAAAATTAGCACGACGAAGCTCAAGAACAACAAATAGCTTGTATAACCCTGTAATATAATTAAAAATGAGTATTATGACAGAAACAGTCTTCACGAATACTGAAATAATGTAGTACCCAATATAAGGAATCACTGTCAGTAAACTGTTCTTTGCACTCCAATATTCCTTTGTTGAAAAATTTCTATTCCATAACGCAATGTATAAATAGCAAGTATTTAATGTTGGGTTACTTTGTCCTCGGAGCCTTGCTGTCGCACGATGTCAGTGTCGTAAGCAGTGAAGATTAAAAATAGTGAGAGAAATCTGTTGGTACGCGCAGTGTCAGAATAGGCTGAATAACTTAATCAAATATGTGCATTTTTAGTGAAAATGGAATCTAGTTATTTGTTTTTGGATTTTTACCAAGTTGGTCCGTATGAAATGAAACCATTGACACCTTTCACTTGACCACAGGCTGTTTAGTTTTATTTCAATTTTTTCGCGCATTCGAAATTGTTAATACAATCGTTTGAGGATTTTTTCCAGAGTTTTGTGTATGAAACAGCGCGATGTATACATCTTACATATATATTAGCTGCTAAGTTTTCTTTCAATTTCTTAACTCACAGAAAATTAATAACATATTTCTAGATTATAATCAGTGCAATGGGCTGCAAATTCTTCCAGACATAGCAGCATGACAAGCTCGGCGCAGTATCCTGAAGGATATTTTGTTTACTTGCATTTTCAGTAGAAATATTAACTAATTCATTGTTTTGGTATTCTTTGCAAGGTTTTGGGTATCTTAACGAAACAATTGACAACTCTTCTAGGCTGCATAGAGTACTCCCAATTTCTACCATTACCAAATTAATAATGTAGATAATATGAACGATGATGGAGAAATGGTGGAATGTGAGGCAGAAGAAACAAGAGGGACCCGCGAATATCGATAATGAATCCGCTTTGCCCACCACAAATTTCACATAGATAATCCGTGATTTGAAATCCGATCCCAGTGGTAGACGTTTGAACAAGCTGACCGCTACTACATGGATCACGTCAATATTAATTATATAATGTAATAAGAATAGCTACGGCACACTGTCGCTCGAGCGACTTGAGACTTGTATCTCGAATCTTCGACGCTTCACAATTTCAAATGTATGCCAATGTGGTACGAGTTCTTTGAGGATGGAGGATGAGCCCATCGCTCGGCTCTGAAAATCGCAATGAGGTCTGGATAAAAACGAAGAATATGGTCACGATCCCTGTCACCCCATAGAACTGCTTTGGCCTTCGGCTGGAATTGAGCAGAACAGACGAACGCCTGATCAAAACAGGCATACTCCAAAATGTTCTTCTTGGCTATCGTTCGCTTTTGTGCAAACATTCTGCCGTCATTAGCTCACAAAGATAACTGCTTATTTGCGAAGCTTTATTTGCGTCGTCGCAGTAGCCAATCAAAGAGTTCGTATTATATTAAGTTCTAGGGATTGTAAATAATGAACATTTTGATACGTACTTACGTGACAATTATGGTCATTGTAATGACTCAATATTTTCTAAACAATACAACTACCCACCATCGTTATCGTTGTCTCTGTTATCAATGCTGTCCAAACCCAACATTACATCAAATGAAATCTATTCAAATCCTAACGTCCATTGAGTAAACCAGCCTCGGCACCAAGCAGCTTGAGGAGAAGGGGAGTAGCGCCGTAAAGCAGCGAGCGAGTTGGAGATGTCAGCGCGATCCCGCAGGCAAACAGCCGAACGGCGACGGCGGCGACGGCGGTGGACGCAGGGGGCGGGTTCAGGGACCTATCTAGAAATGGAGGGAAATGCAACGGGAGAAGCAAACCTGGTAGAAGAGGGCGTGACGTGGCGGGGAGGGGAGTGTAGCAGCAGAGATCGTGACGTAGGATGAGAATTGGGGAATGCGGGGCGTGGAGGGGCGAGGGAAAGATGCGTGACGAGGTGGGACTTGGCGGGGATGTAATGGAGGAACATGGCGGGGTTGTCAGGACATGGCATCACGGGGCGAGTCGAGGTGTGACGTGGTGGGGATTGACAAGATGTAGCGTGGCGGGGTGTGGCGGAAC